TCGAATGGTAAATTCTGCACTGGGTGATGTAGTAAAGTAGACTTCCGGCTAACGGAAATATTAATCCACGATCATCAGTGCTTAGTGCTTGTTGAAAATGGGTCACAATAATCTACAAGGATTCATTGCCATGACTCGCAGGATACTTGCAACGGAGTCTCGAACAATATGAGCAATGGCGTCAAGTGTGGATAAATGGCATTTATAAGTATATTGTAAACGGTCATGGGAGTTAAGCAGGGGTTACATGCGGTGCAGCAAACTATTTTTAATAGCGTTCAGCTACCCAAAGTGCAGGCAATAGGATGGTACTTTGACGATTCTTTCTTTGGGATCGGTCTGATCCGGGCTGACCTCCAACAACCGGGGATAGTTCCAGATGACAAATAAGTGCTGAACAATTCGTCAATGGGTTTCGTAAGCTCGTCAGTGCAGGCTTTCAATAAATGAGGTGTTAATCCATCTGGGCCATGAGCTTTATTGTCCTTGATTAGCCTCAAAACTTAGAGAACCTCTTCCGGAGAAACAGGATTTATTACATCATGAGTAGGAAAAGGAGGTGGGAGGGAGCTAGAGACAGGTGCAGTAGCAAATTGACGGCTAAGTACCTCAGCGTTGGGACAAGAACTCGTGCGTGAGCCACAGAGTTTCCGTAGGGTAGTCCACATCTCAAGAAAGTTTTTGTTGCTCAAAACAGTCACAATGTACATTCCGTTCAGGCGTCTTATTTCTACTCTAATCAGGACAGAAAGCTCTTTGACACTGTTACGCCCGCTGGCCATATAAGNTTCGAATATAAATAGTTTCAACCGGACAGCATTGGTCATAGCAGAAATTAGGATAATCGGTAAGGTGTTCACAAGAGGAAGACAGCTGGTTATGGAAGAACACAGAAAAGTCAGTAGAAGAAACTAAGTCCCACAGTCGGGACAAGTTCTCAGGAGAACAATTTCTGTTCCGTAGCGTACGAGAAGTGAGTCGGGTATGAAGGCAGTGATTAGTTTTACAATATATTTTGGGTTAAAGAAGAATGGTACAGTGGTCAGAAGTACTAATTCGGGCTCTTTTAAAGACGTGAAAAAGAATGGGACTATTTATATAAATGCCATCAAGAAAGATAGGAAGGAAAGCTAGGAAAATTGACAATGTTCTCTAGGCCTAGAGTGATTAGAAAGGAGGTATCAAAACGATTAAATTCACCAGCGGTAATACATAAGGACTGGTCAATACAACTGGTGAATTTTGTCACTACAGTACCAGAATATTGTCTTAAGTCGGGGATGAGTGTATCAGAGGCAGTATACATATTCACAAAGTAAGTGACGTGAAATCTGCTGAGAAAGTGGGGCTTGCAGCAAACAAATGTACAGTAATTTTACTTGTTGAGTTGGAAGAAATCAAATAATGTTCTTACACCAACTTTGATTTACGAAAACGACCACTCCGCCACCTATGTTACGAAATTTCACAATCGGATCACTCCTGAAAATATCAAAGGGGTCTAATCCGACCATATCGTGGATTACTATTTCCGTTAGCCGGAAGTCTACTTTACTACATCACCCAGTGCAGAATTTACCATTCGAGCACCCAGGAAAACGTTCGGTTGAGAAGGTATGCCGCATGTTATCGTTACTGATAATGGAATTCATTATACTGCTAAGAAAGTTACCGATTGGTTGAACTCCGTGAGTTGTCAACATGTTCTCACTCCACCGCAACATCCACAATCCAATGGGGCAGCCGAAGACTTGTGCGCACATTGAATAGCGTCATTCTTTCTGTGAATCCCAGTACATTCGATTAACTGGACACAGGCTTTGATAACTTTCTGATGTAATACTGCAACGCAGCACATTAAACTACGGGGCACAGTCCAGCAAGGCTCTTCAACAGTCAAGTTCTTCGAACAAATCATCTAAACCTGGAGTCTGCGTAAGTCGTGTATCATCCTGGTAACGATTTAGGACCATCCAGATTCATTGACTGAACCACATGGGATGACGAGTATGTCGAATAGTGGATCTAGACGATGATGCTGTGCATCTTACATGCGTATACCAAGGCATATGTGATTAGATCTGTTATATGTCTTGTTTGCCCCTACAGGAGAATACTGAATGCATATTGAGAGAATACACAACGGAGTGATTATAGCTGCTATGGCCGGATTCGGAGGAAGCAATGTGACATTGGTGTTTAGAATGGAAGAACTATAACTTTGCGTGCTACAATAGGAATACACCGAGAACCACGAAGATTATTCTCAAGACTAAGACCTAAGTATTGATCGCAAGTGACTGGATTCGTCAGTCATCTCCTCAATGATCATTCCTCAAACGGAGACAGGGAACTAGACACTTAATGGTTCTATGATGGACACACGACGGAGGGAATGTAATGAGGCGACTAATAATTGCGCTATTCCATTCCAAATCGGAATGATTAGAAATGTGAATGGAAATGGACCCATTATGGGCATATTTTACATGTCCCAAAACGGCAGTAAAAGGTGTGCTGCAGGTCGGGAATTTTGTAGAAATAGAAGTTCTAATGAACACGAACAGTAGATCGACACTGCTCAGTTTTGAGTTACCAAACCAATAAGTTTATGAGAAATAGTGTCTGAGTTGTTCATCAGAAGAAATGCAATTACCAAATGATTGCAAGCCAGAACGAAGTGTACATCCAAGTGACTACCATGAATGGGAACTACTACTAAGTGGATGCTTTCACTGTATTGGGGAGTAGCTCTGGTTAATACGGAATAAATGTACTGGAAATGTTCGCATTTTTGTGTGATCATTTAAAATTAAATTTTTCGGAAAAACAAGCTTTCATTTGGGTCATGTGTTTCACCGCACATATGCACGATGTCTCGTACTAGTGAATACGGCGCGAATTAGGCAATGCGAAAACTTTGGTTGCCGCGGATTTGGAATTTTCAATACTGATTAATCGTGGATAAAAACAGTGAGAAACTTTGGGAAAAAGGTTTATTGCACAACCATCAAAAAAATTCATTATTCTTTGCAGTAAACAAAAGAACAAAAGTGGGGAGGAAGGAATCAAACTAGAAATCTACAGAACATGGTTGTATTTGTTCAGGAAACAGCTGGTTTTCGGCAGGGGAATTTCTCTGGAGGAGACACAGTGTATCCCGATCCATGCTCAGGAAGTGGTTTAAACACAACCACCTGCCAACATCCATGTTCTCCATCAGTCAACTGCAATGAGAAAGGTTGTTAATTAGGAATATTGCAAACCAACCAGAAATTTGTAGTTTGTTCCGGCGACAACCTGCGTGGACACTGAGACGAATCTCAGATGCTGAATGTCGAATTGAGGAAGCGATACCTTCAGGGCAGGTGCGAGCTGAAACATGTTGGGTTGTCAGTTTGTAGGTTCAACTCACATATGGAATAAACTCAGCCTCCTCTTCCGGTCGAACACATCGTGGATCTGTATAGCCACCCGGAGTGGAATCTCCCAGGCTTTGTGAGACAGTCAAGAAGAGAACAGAAATTCCAATGGAGATGTGAGACGGCATTCTGAAAGAGTATAGGAAAAATAAATGTAGTACCGCACAAGAATTGATTATATGTCTATTGTCATTTCTTAGTGGTATTTCAGGACTGATTGGTTCTTCCGTAAGAATACACCCCATTCCGTGATACTCTTCAACATGCCAGCATATGTATGTATGTATGTGTTAAAAAATAATAATAACAATAGACCACAACAATTGCCATGGATTATGAGCGCGTAAAAGCGGTACAACGATTTGCGTTGATTTTCGTCCCTGTCAAGCATTTACTGAAACCATATCAACCATATCACATCTGTGATAGTCGCATCTAAACAACCGGGAGTGCATTTCATCCCCAAAATAACTCGTGGGTGTAGAGTAATACGAGATTATGTGTAAAGAAATGACCGACAAGTGTTCTCACGAGGAGATCATTGCATAAGTGATATCATGCATGATGCACGCATCGTATACATGTATTTGATCGGAATGTAAACATCCAAATGAAGAACTTGCTTGGAAACGCGCAGTTTTCTTTGCATTATGGTATCCGAATATCATGGCTGCCTAAATAGGCTGGGTTACTTGTAAACTCCACTGGCGGTTCTCTACACGATCATGTGATTTCAAAAGAATATACACGTGATAATTGTGTACGAATCCGGTTTGCGAATTCGAAAATGCGTTTATCCGTGGAGAGTTTTGGTTTGCGAGTGTAAATACTACTCCGCTATCCATAAGTGACCGTTAAACCACCAATCAAACAGATAATGTGACAGTTGTTTTTCAGGTTAGCACATTCACGGTTTGTGATAAACAGCTCACTCAAAACGCACGTGACGTTTCCACTTGAAATTCTTCGACGTTGGCAGAAACGATCTAAAAGACTGAAACAATTTCAGCAACGCATTTGTAAATTATATTATGAGATATAGTTGAGAATTCCTTCTTTAATATTACAAGTCTGTCTGGGAAGGATCTTATTTGTTGCATTTTAATGATACAGCACGAACACCGCGTTCATATCGTAACAACGCATCTTCCACATCGGTCGTGTTCGGCTTTTATTTGTCCACATTCAAACACCTGATGTAAATGTCTCCGAGCACCTCACGATTGTTCTCTCACGTTTGATTCCATGTGAGATGGATGGATTTCGAACGAGATCTGGATTTTTCTAGGTTACTGACACAATTTCCGGTTAGGGAACATTGAAGAAACATAAACCTCACATCAATTGCAGCTTTTTTATTACGCAACCGTCTGTGATGAACAACAGACGGCGCGAACCCTATACTTACGAGGACCTACAGATTTTAGTGGTGGAAACCGGTAACTTAAGTCCCGGGACTTGGAGTGGCCAACCACATAGGGCCCCGATAGGTTAGGCGTGATATTGAACCGGGCGACAGCAGAACTGCTGAGATAACAGTCAAATCCAGGATCAAACGTGTCGAGGAACACTCGCACGCAAGCGAAACTAAGGTACGTTATGGCGCTTAGCGTGCATTCGAAAACACCAGTTGCCTATGGAAGAGGGCATTCTTCAATACTGTCCTTAAGGTTTGTACGTTCGTTGTACCCGAAACATTCAACTGCCGTGCTGAATGATTTATGACACGTAGCGTGAGGTTATCATTTAGACTGTGCGGATCAAGCGGGTCTGTTGTATAAATTGCCTATGGTTATTAAATATATGCATGCTAGTATAAACCTTGTGGGTGATGAAAAGCATTGAGATAATTTCTGTAGAGTACGGCGGTTTCGATCAGATGACTCGTTCACATTTAAGTGTATTTGAGGGTTCACTCAAAGGTAACATTCTTGCTGCAGGAATCACCTTGGAACTAAAACAAATTGACAAATGTGCTTGTGAGCCGGTGGAGTTAGACAAACCAACACTTGTGATGATGCGCAGCACAAACGGTGCCCTTGAGTGGGATTCGATAATGTTTCTGAATGTTTCCACACGCAATATACATGCCGAATGAGAGTTATATCTTTGTCAGTGCAAATTGCTAAGAATGTGTAAGGGGTAACAATAATTCAACGAGATAAAATTCACCATAGGTGTAAGATCAGTAACGGATTGTGCATAAGCATACGTGCATCGGTCCAGATCCTGGTATTTAACTGAAAAATTGAGACCATTAACAGAAGTCTTGATGGTTTTGTCCGACGTGCCAGAAGAAACATTTCAGAATAAAGAAATAATGTGATTCAATCATTTGGAAAAATGAGAAACTCACGCCTACCAGATGAGAGAGTGACTTAAGATGCATAAGGAATGAAAGTAACGACGTATACGCTGTGAAGGAGAAGCATTCGGTTTTTCGTCTTCTCGTTCAACTAACGGAATCGCGCAAGTTGCAAGCGGTGGTCGAGTAATGCGCTGGTCTCCATTCGAGAATTAACTTCCAATATACCGAAAATAGAAAGTTATTGGAACCCGCCGGGTAGAGCACAGATTTATTTGCATACATACGGTAGTGGCAAGTACTGCGTTCGTCGGAATAGCAACACACTTTTGCTTTGTGAGATGATCAGTTGTCTAAAGAAACAGTGCCACCATTCCTTGATTCTTCTTCTTCCGTCCGTAACCAGGAAATGTTTCGTCTACTTCCGAATGATTTTATCAACACAACATTGCGTTTAATGTGTCATCGCAATAGTCGTGAATAGTTTATGCACGCAGTGAATGTGCCTGTTGTCTTGGTATGTCTACAACAAAATATCGTACCATTATCCTCTCTCCAATCAGACAAACGTTTCTTAATTCTATCAATCTAAATGTGATGGGTGATTAGCTGTGTAACTTCAACATAGCTGTTTGTTCCAAGAGAAATTTCCGGCAATTTTGGAGTTAAAATTTATTCGAAACTACTCCCCTCAGTCTTCTTCTTACCAGCCGAACCTAAAATAACAACTGTAAAATGCGTTTTCTTCTTCCGTCTTTTGCTTTTATAAATATGCCCTATTTTTGAGGTTGCACAGATACCGACCACCGGAACACCTAGTCTGTGTTCTGAAATGGTATTCTGTTGTCAAGTCTTGCTTTAATAGAGTGGAAAAATAGTTATCAACAATGTACATTGGTCATGAAAGCTGGGTGGCTTCACCTGGGAATCTCTCTTTTAACTGCTACCAAATACCGAGGTTACAACCTTACTACCGATATCATCCTCGTTAACTCGCCAGTGTTGTTTTTCAGTTATCACAATGATTTTGGCAAACTAACAACTCGGGAGGCGGATGAAATCCAAATGAATTAAATTTGTAACACACACAGTGCCTTTTAAATCATGATTTTTCCAAGTACGATACTGCTGTTTGAACATAATTTCTGCATGGACATGTCTCTGGTTTATTTTGAAACCGACTATCTACCTTTGAGTTATAACGCCCAAATGGTGTCCGGTATTTCCTATATTAGTTCAATTAGATGCACTGTGCTGTTATGTATTTCGTCCCGTTGGCTTTTATCACGTTTCATTTGTCGCTAACTCCACGAAAATCACGCCCACAACCTGCAATTATTCTTTTCGAGGCATGCTGCCATTACAGAATGGGAATTCCACGGTTCCCGAAAATCACTCATAAATGTGCAGAACAGACAGCTAACAGATTGCACATACTGGCTCTCCTCTTGCCAAAGTACATTCTGCTATTAGGCCTTTAAGAAATGCACGTATGTAAACAAGTTGCGGTTTTTTCGACTATCCGTTTGCATTTGATTCCGTTTCTCCATCGTCTCACACTTTTGAAATTGAGTGTTTTGGCACTCCAACCCAGCTGCTCCGAAGGGTTATTCACTACATCACAGAGAAGGTCCGATTCACCAAATTAGGCAGGGTTACATCAAAAGGTCCGCCTAATAATTCTAGGTGTGTCTTGATTTGTTTTTGAGGTGCCCACCGCTTTTCTGCCCTTATAAGTGATATTTCGACCCGCCACACGCACACATTCTTCGGTATGTTGATGATACATTTTGTGTCAGATCATTTCTCCACTGAAAATATATATTCAGAATGCAGTAGTTCACTCAGCGATTTGGCATTAGTCCGAACACAACCAGGTGCCTGGTGTGAATGTTTAGTCATAACATTCCAAATTTCGAATCTAGTACCCTCGGTGTCAGTATTGACAGAAAAATTCAGTGCTCCGCAAACATTCACAATTTGAAGGGAAAATCTTTTCTTCGCTGGAGAGCGAACTCAAGCAATGCCGAACGCCATCGTCCGCATCGTACTTCTATATTCATCGATGAGATTTCCTAATGTCGCTCTCGGTCGCCCAAAATCGTAATTTGTGACAGGGTATAATCAGTCGTGTACCCTTTGTTCCAATTGAACCATAAATCGCAAAAAATGATACCGGTCACATCAATTATTAATTGGATTGCTCATTAACTTCGAAAATTAGGTTTTAGATGATCCTCTCCATCCACTATATAAATATCAATATATCATTGTCGTTCCCATCCGTCCACACGATCCTCCAGCGGAAATCTTCCTTCTCGTTTCAGCGTTTAGCAAAAGCAATGAACCTCACACGGCTGAACACTTAACCATGATATTACGGGTCACTATTGGACTACGTTGGAATATGTGAGTACTCACCAGTGTGCATTGGAAATGCACGTTGGTTGTCACACTGTAATGTTACTATTATCAAGTTCGGTAGTGATACGAATACAAAAAATACAAAATATTAGTGACATCACTGAAAAACGCAGCATAACGTGACTGGTGACATATCACGCATAACGTACCACTGAAAGGTGACTTGAAAAAATGAACACCCATCAAACGTAATTGCAGATCCGATGGCGGAAATTCGCATGGAATTCGTCGCACCTGTTATTTGGTTCATCATCAACAAACATATTGACGTGTTTGCTTTTGATGTAGTTATTTATTGTTCGTCATCCGATGAACTGCACGTTTCATACACTTAATGCTATTGCGTACACGGGCAGTGATGTGTGGGTGGTTTATTCATCACCGATTCTGAAGTTTCAAAAGCACCGAGACGTTCTTCATCCAGTCATATTCAAACGGTCCATGTTGGTGGAGAAATCGTAGGCAGACACCCAATCGAAATGTTTTGCTTGCCTCTCGAACTCCTTAGCAGATAACCTAAGCATTAGTGCACAAATGTCCAACGTTGTCAAGATGTTGTTATGCCTTTTGGAACATTTCGGAATCAGTCAAGCACCAGGGAATGCCATTCGACCACAAACGTACGTGTCTAAAAAGAGCAACACAGGTAAGGATCAATCTGTTGCCAAAAACTGGGTCTAACTCAGCGTGAACAAGCTGGTATTTTACTCACACCAGTAGTCACCACTCCTATCTATATGATTCTATGCGTTTTTTCAATAATTGTCAACGACACAAGCAATGCGAATAAGCATCACAGTCACTTAAATTACTCTACTACTACACATGAACAGCAGTGAAATACGTTACCTGTTTCTCATTTGTCTCAACTAAATACATGGGCACTATCCATGCTGTTCTGATCCGTTGTCTGATCCAGGCATCTTTTTTCTCATTCCGCAGAAATGTGGACAGCGATATTTTGAGCAAGGGATACTAATTTTGATTGAGTTAGACCAGGTTCAGTACGTGTGAACGAGTTATCTTCATTCGGATTGTACATACAAAAAACGCGATTCTAAGCAATTGATGTACCCAGTAGAAAACTACAGCACTTCCACATAAACAGTAAAACGCTAAAGCTCCGTTACGATGTACGATGCAGCGGTCTAACCATTTATATCGCGATGCATGTCTGCATATCGATACACATGAATATTACGGCGATGAAAATAAACTTCCCGGGGACAAACATATGAATGAAATGAAAAACAGGATTATCGGATATGAATGCGTGACGAGCGGCCACAACTAGGAATCCAGTAGTGTGAGTTTAGGGAAATGGTGCCGAATCAATGATGCAATATCTTTTACGAATCGTACATTTATTGGCATCTGACAAATAGAAGCAAAATCATTAAAGGGTATTATTAGGGCTATGTTGCGTTTTAAGTGAGACAATGCCGATTGTGCTATCCCGTGAATGAGACTGGAACCACCAGGTGTCGGGAGGAAAAAATGTGATGAACGTCAGGGTACTGCCCGAGGTTGATGAAGAACTTTCGCTGTCTTCCTTTCTGTAGTTCGTTATATATATCTATATACGCATTTGTACATATATATCTATATATCTAGAAACAATAGTCAAACTCCCTTATTTCCTTCCCCCAACACGTAGTCTGTTGAGCGTCATTCACGAGATTGCACATGATAGTGCCCCTATATATGACATAACAGGGCCGTGATAATATCCACTTACGTCATTTCTTCTCTAAATCGAATGCCACTAAAATGAACGATTCCACGATTTTGGTGACGACCACTGGTGCATCAATTGTAAAAGAACAAGGTCTCGATGAAAATGACTGAAATGGATTGCACAGGCATTGAACGTTCATTTTGTCCGTTCTTTTCTTCACTTCTTTTCTTCATTTTGCCGTTCTACCCTAAAAACATACCATACCCTGGCCATTGACGACCACTGGGGAGGTAGTTTGCTAGTTATATCATCTGCAATCGAATTCAACCATTCTCTTGTTTGAATGAGATCCATTTTCGGCCCTAAAATTTATGTCTTAACGGAGAAGTTCCTTTGAGTATGGCATGAATTGAGTTTCTGTTCACTTTGAAGTACTTGCACAATCGGAAACGGAGCCAGTTAAGATGTGCGTACTCGAATAAGTTGCACCTTGGCTTCAACTGTCTGCCAAAACATCTTAGACGCTTCATGCGGTTTGGGTAAAGTGACAATATAGTAAGTCTATACAATGAAAGGAAGACGTCAGCCTAGACTTTTGAAGGTGAGTGTTCACGGTTCTTGGAATAGAGTTTAGTTTCATAATTGCAAGCTTAGCTTAGCCTATTCGTTTATTAAGAGGCACCAGACACCC